GCTAACTACTTAACAGAAATATACTTTGAGGTCGAAAAGGTATCCACTACACCCCAGATAATAATATATTATGACGGAATTTGGTTAACAAAAAAAAAAACACTCTATGTTTGTTTTTGAAAATATAAATTAAAATCAATGTTTCTGAAAAAAAAAAAGTCAATTTTGAAGTTTAAAAAAATAAAAAATTATTGATTGTCAGAGGGGATGAAAACTGTCAGAGGGGGAGTGGAATTTTAAAAAGAGGGATTATGGAATGTAAAGTTACAGAAAAATAAGTATGGATTATTGAAATGTATTGAAATTGGTTACACGAATAAAGCAGAAAATATAAAAAGAAGTTTTATTTATAACAGCATAAAGCAGAAATTGAAAGCAGAGACAAGCAGAAGTAAGTAGAGATAAGCAGAGACAAGCAGATACAAGCAGAGACAAGCAGAAATAAGTAAGGATAAGCAGAGACAGCAGATACAAACAGAGACAAGCAGAGACAAGCAGATACAAGCAGAGACAAGCTGAGACGCTAGACGACAGCACACAAGAAGTAATAAGGCAGGCGGTAGAACAAGAGCAGTGTAAGGAGAGGGAAGTGCAGACAGGGCTGAGAAGAAGAAGACGATAATAAAATAATATAATTTCTAAATTCATATTTTTTATTTAAATTTTTAGAGTCTAAATAACGATACAGTGTTATCAAATCAAACATAGAGGGAATAGTTAAATTGATATTTGGAAGTGAAAAGTTATAGAAATTTCGTAGGGGAATTTATTTTTTTTTTATTTTTCTTTTCTTTTGATTATCGAAATTATTGATAGTGAGTAATACAAGTGAATGAACCCAACCCAAAATTCTGATACAAATATTCATCATAATCTAATAAAAAATTTAGATAATTACTGAGCTAGCTATACTGGGTTAAATTAAACATCTAAATTCTTATATTCATATCAATTGGCGCATCAACGTAGGGCGAGCAAAATATAGTGATTTTTGAAACTTTCTCTTAATAATTAGCTATATAAAACTATTTCAATAATAAATATAATACAGGGTGTGTTATTAGTAGGGAAACATGGCAAGTATGTATGAGATTATGCAGCAGTTGATTTTAATGAATAAAAATATTACTCATATTAAAGGGGATATCAATCATATTAAGGGGGATATGAATGATATGAGGGAAAATTTGGAAAGGAAAGTAGATGAAGTAAAAATAGAAAGTTTAACAGAAATGAAAAAAATTAGGCAACAGAATGAGGAGTTTAGAATGCAGATTACACAAGTGAGAGAAGTGGTTCAGGAGCAAAATAAAATGTTACGGGCAGAAATAGAGGAAAAAGTGGTCGGAGATAGGAAAAGATGTGAAAGAAAAAGTTAGTGAGTTAAAAAGAAATATTGAGGAAATTTTGCTAGGGGAGATTCAAATAGAGGTGACTAAACAGACTGATATGTTGAATAGGGAAATTAGACACATAAAGTTACAGGGACAGGTACATGAAAAGGCCATACCTAATTGTAAAGAAATTGTTGACAAGGAGATAAGAAATTTGACAGTGACAGTTGAGGAACAAGCAGTGAGTTGTATTAAAGGATCTGCGATAGGAGAAATAAATTTTAAAAGGGAAATAGAGGAGGTGAATAGGAAAAAGCAAAATACGACAGAGGAAATTTTAAGACAAAATTTAAGAGGAAGATTAACTGTAGTACTTAATTATATTGATGAGGGGATTAACTTTGATGAAACTATAAACAACATCCGTCCTGAAGTTTTTGTAACAATAGTTCAAAACAAACTCAAAAATGTCAGAGGTTTAGTAAAAAAAAATTGATTATTAGAAATATGTCAACTGGACTTCATCTGTTGTGGTATTGCAATAAAGAGATTAAGAAAATATAAATTTGTTAAATATATTAAATTTTATTTCGTTTTATTATATAATTACAATTGAAAAGTTCTGAAATACAGTTAACAATATTTTAATGTTACATTTTGTTAATTATGATTCTTTTAAAAATGTTAAATTTAATTTCATTTCATTATTTGATGCAAGGAGTTAAATAATTTTAATTTGAAATTAATTGAATTTATTTTAATTTGCTATTGTTATTTTTGTTGTTGTAAGAATGGGAATATGAGTGAATATGGAATGTAAGGTATCAATAATTTGGATAAAATGGGGGAAAAGAAAAATTTTGGTCATTTGAAAATTTGGTATTCAATAATTTATTTGGAAATAAATTAGTTAAATACAAAATTTTGGGGCTTTTATGACGGAATTTGGTTAACAAAAAAAAACACTCTATGTTTGTTTTTGAAAATATAAATTAAAATCAATGTTTCTGAAAAAAGTCAATTTTGAAGTTTAAAAAAATAAAAAATTATTGATTGTCAGAGGGGATGAAAACTGTCAGAGGGGGAGTGGAATTTTAAAAAGACGGATTATGGAATGTAAAGTTACAGAAAAATAAGTATAGATTATTGAAATGTATTGAAATTGTTTACATGAATAAAGCAGAAAATATAAAAAGAAGGTATATAAGTTTTATTTATAACAGCATAAAGCAGAGACAAGCAGAGACAAGCTGAGACGCTAGAGGACAGCACACAAGAAGTAATAAGGCAGGCGGTAGAACAAGAGCAGTGTAAGGAGAGGGAAGTGCAGACAGGGCTGAGAAGAAGAAGACGATAATTAAATAATATAATTTCTATATTAATATTTTTTATTTAAATTTTTAGAGTCTAAATTACGATACAGTGTTATCAAATCAAACATAGAGGGAATAGTTAAATTGATATTTGAAAGTGAAAAGTTATAGAAATTTCGTAGGTGAGTTTATTTTTTTTTATTTTTCTTTTCTTTTGATTATCGAAATTATTGATAGTGAGTAATACAAGTGAATGAACCCAACCCAAAATTCTGATACAAATATTCATCATAATCTAATAAACAATTTAGATAATTACTTAGCTAGCTATACTGGGTTAAATTAAACATATAAATTCTTATATTCATATCAATATATATGTAATACACATGCCTATTTTATTTTGCATTACATGTATGTAAAAAAATGTTTTGTTACTTTTCTGTTTCGCTCTTTTTTTATTTTTACGTATGTTATACCTATTTCCTTATATTGTAAGCACGATCTTATTTTTTTTTTAATAAATAAGAGGTTTTTGACTCAATTTTGCTGCTATTATACATATGACGCCACATGTGCGTTCGCGGCACTAATAATGAAAAACACATTCTCAGTGCCGCCAACGCCACTTATGCGTTTTTGATGTTATTGACTAGTTTGAGGTAGATTCCACAATATTAGACTAAGTAAAAAAAATTAAACAACAGAAAACATATGCTCGGCTCCCCGGTTGAGGTAAGATAAAAGTAAAGGCAGCGAACGTGTTAAGAAGGTTCTTCGAAGATGCATGATGCGTAATGTTTTCGAATTAATCCGCCGACTCCAAATAATCCGTTAATGGGTCAACTCCCTGGCCATACACTAAAACCAGTGTTTCGTCCAATTTGTAACATATTTAATATTTTTAAGTTTACTTATTTTTTTTGGGAACATTAAATGAAATTGTATTGCCGTTTTCTTTAATTTATATTAAAATATTGTCATACCAATTTCTTTATTTTATATTGCATATTAATTCTTGTTATTTATTATTATTTGGCCAATTCGGTCAAAGGATTACTCTGTATGCCTTTCATTTTGTATTAATAGCGAATTTTATCTTCTAAGTTTTTTCCTATTTTAACCGTCGAAAAAGTACTCTGGCTGCTTCCAGTCAGTGCCAATTTAGTTTTCAACGCATGAAATTTATAAACCAATACTCGGTCTTTGGCGGATTCATTAAAAAATCAAACATAACCAAGGGGATGACTTGTGACACACATTTCAAAGGACTATTACTGTTCCCGGCCGGGACTCATCAAAAGAAACAAATTTGGGAAAAACTATTTTATTTTTACAAGGTAAGACTTAGAAGTTAGCGTCAATCCATTTTTTCTCTCCTGTGCTATTGTTACATAATCATTTGCGCAACATTGCTTGGTCCTTCGATTCGGAATGGCTAATTTAGTGTTTAAATCGTAAAAATAATTTACATATTAATTTGTTCATTGCATTTAATATTCTCAACATTTAATTTTTTGTGGTACCGGCAAAATTTCAGCAAATAAAATTGGGCACAAAAGCTCAAGTTTTAGCAGCTTATCTGATATAGACGCGCGCAACTAGAGATAAAACCTGAATTATCGTATAAAGCTTAATTTATAACCGCCGTAACGTAACTTAAGAACATAACGTAAGAAGTTAAAATATTGAATTTACGTATACCTATTTATAATGTCCGTAACGTAACTTAAGAACTTAACGTACCGTAGAAAGTTCGCCAACTTTTAACTTAACAACTTAATACGTTACGGTCAGCCAATAAGATGTCGTTAAATTCATCATGTGATAACTGTCTACTCTTCCTTTTTAATAAATAAACGGTCTTTCTTTATATTGACATCATATACTAAGTAGTTGGACAAATATCATTTTTAAATTGTCAATTCTTCTATTTTATACGTACACAATACCAAATTCCATTGAATGTTTGTTTACGTTTTTGGGGATGAAATCTTTTTCAGTTATGGGTGTCTGTGTTTATACTAACATAATTAAAATCTGAAATTGGAACCAAGACCCACAAGAGGAAAGCGTAAGTATGTTTTTAGGAAAGATTTGTTCCGATTATCCGTCGAAAATAATCTTAATAAGATTTTGTTTATATTAACCACATTAAAATCTGAGATTGGACGAGACATAAGAAGTACCTAGAAAAATAAAGGTAACATTTATTATATTATATATATTATTTCTGTTTTATTTTAGTTTTATTATATTTTTGATTTTAAATTAGTTTATAATACCTATATTCTTTTTTACTATAGTCATAGCGTTTGAGTGTTTTTTTTTATTTTTAACATATTTGTATATAATGGATACAAGCTTATTAATTTACTTAGTAGAAGATTTTCCAAATTTATATGATAAAAAACAAGCTAATTTTAAAAACACCAAGCTTAAAGAGCAGCATTGGGTTGAAATTGCCACTGCTATGAGAAGCACAGGTATGACTGCTTAAAGTTTAATTATATTGCTTTTATTTTATTTTTATTTCTTTTTTAGTTGATGATTGTAAAAGATTATGGAAGAATCTGCGGGAGAAGTATGCCCGTGAAAAGCGAGGATTACCTTCTGGTGCTGGTGCGGACGAATCCCAGTGGGAATTTTTCCACTCTTTAGAGTTTTTAAATCCACACGTTGCCCCAAGAAAGTACGAATAATGTTCTTACTTTATAAGAATGGTGTTACAATTATTACTTTACAGGACATACACTGCCACAAAAGAGACAGAGAGTATTACTTGGTTAAATTCATTCGGAACTATTTTAGGTAGTTCACAGGACCAAAATTATTCCCAAGAATATTCTCAGGAGATGGACACTGCTGTGTCTGATGATTCTGTGCAGGAACTGATAAAACCTCAAGCTGGATGCTCGAAAGAAAATACAGGTACATACTTTTATTATATTATACAGTCATACCACTTAACAATTGGAAAACATTGCAGAGCTCTAAGGTGCTAGGCATTAAATTACCAATAATATAATGATGAAATAGTATATTTAATTGTAATTGTAGGTTCCATGGTTATGCCAACTCTAAGAAAACGAGTAGTGCCTGGTTCCACTCCTTCCTCTGTTGCTGCTCCTAATACTAGTGATAAATATTTTATTTAAAAATTGGAAAACATTGCAAAACTTTAACGTGCTAAACCTTAAATTACCAATAAAATAATGAAGAAATAATATATTTAATTTTAATTGTAGGTCCTATGGTTCTGCCAACTCCAATAAAACGAGCAGTGCCATGTTCCATTGATTCCTCTGCTGCTGCTCCTAACACTAGTGGTAAATATTTTATTAAACATTGCATGGCTTAATGATTAATATAATAATGACAAAAAATAGAATAGTGCCGTTTGGTATGAGTTCATACGTTTTTGCAGTGCATATTTGCTTTAGTTAGTTTAGTTTTATTTTAAATTTCAGGGCAAGGAAGGCAAAAAAGCGGCAATCCAGATATTGGCAGACTGATTGATACGGCAACGGATATATCAAACGCCATTAGACACCGGGACAGTTTGGATGGATTTGCCAAATACATTAGCCATACGCTACGTGAGAAATCACCACGAACTTGTAAACGTTTAAAAAGAGCAATAGTTCAACTTGTCGAAGATTCAGAAAGTAACTAATTTAATTTGTATTCCTATTTTATAGTTATGCAAGTATATTATATTTTTAATTTTAGTATAATTTTTATTATTAGTATTATTTGTTATTAGTAAATTTTCTTTTACTTATTTATTTACAAGGAGTTTTATATCTGTATGTATAATAATAATATGTTTAATTTAATCTTCTATCATGTTAGTTAACATCTTTAGTTAATTTTAATTATAGTGCTTTTTTGATGATTTTTATATTAGGATATCTTTTATAATAAATTTATCTATTGTTTATTCTAAATAAAATTATTTTAATGTTTTTTTTTTATTATACGATTAAAAGTTTAATTTTTATCTGTCACTTTTATTATACCGAATCAAGAGATTACCTAAGGTTTGGTGCCTCTATCAACCTACCTTTTAATGCAATTGTTTTCACGATTCAAATGTTGTGTTTTGTCAACAATCTTATATGGTGGGTATCCTAGACGAAAGTTTTAATATTTTTTTTTTGTAACGCCTTTTAGGATAGCTTTATAAGCCGAAAGCGCCCAGACTAATTTTTAATAAAATATTTTAAATTTTTACACACTGAAGTATTTCATTCCACTTTCATCTTTTTATTATTCGTTCAATAAACATTTTAAACCTTCAAAACAAGGAGTTATTAGACACAAGGAAAATATAACACTAATAAATCTGAAGAATAATTATTAAGATTTTTTTTTTTTTAAGGTGAAGGAGGAGAAAAAGTCCTTTATATCTCACAAGGACTTTTTCTCCCCCTTCACCTTAAAATTACCTCAACTCACACATGGCTACCCCCCTTGTCAATTATTAAGACTTAAAAAAGATTATTTTTAACAAAAATTGAATAAAAACAAATCGATGTGGTCGAACTCCAATGCATATAAGTACCCAATGAAATACACGTACAAGTACCTTACCCTCTGCAAACTCAATAATGCCATCAAAATATCTAAAAAAAAATTGCAATCTCTGGTGGAATATTAAAATCTTTGTATCCCATTAACTTTTGTGCAAAATATAACAAATTAAACTTAAGTATTGTGTTGTGAATGAATGACAGAAACAAGTAAAACAAATGACAAACATTTGAATAACATGATAAATTAAAGTAGGTGTGTGATGAAAACTTCATAGGAAATGGTGTTCACGATCCTATTTAAGCTCATCGGTCATTCGCGAACTATCTTATAAAGTGTAGGGCTAAGTAGATTTATTTGATTTTAATACACCTAATATTCGTAAAAAGTCATATTACAACAAAATATACAGTGTGTCCCAAACATTTTTATACAAATGGGGAAAATGTATCTTACATTTCAAAAAAATATATGATCTTGATCAATTGGAAATCCATAATCAATCATGAAATTTGTACAATTGAAAAATTTCCAGTAAACACTTTAGCATTGGTTTTGGATTATTTATTGAACCTAGTAAATATCAAATAAAAATAAGCTTACTTTTTTAATTCCTATCAACATATGTTAATCTGTATTTTGCTTTATATTGTTTAAAAGTATTTTTACTCTTCATTATAAATCATTTTTATTTTTCCTGTATGCCACCTGTATTTTACAAAATTTAACATTTTATTATTGATTCTCATGTGATGCAGAATTTTTTATGGATATTTTTTTTATTTAAATGTAAGATAAAACTTTTTCCCATTTATATAAAATTGTTTCTGTATATAGAAATATTACAAAGAAAAAAGTAAGTATAAGTATAACAATAAAAGATAAATAATGTAAAATAAATTGTCAACGTTTCACTAAAGTGATAATATAAAGTACATACTTCATATAAGAATAGTTTGATCTTCACCTACAGATTTTGAGTGTCATAATCACGATTCTATTTAAAAATAATTTACACATTCTCATATACATTGTAAAGTTAAGTTATTTTACTGTAATTCACAAAATATGATATGTGTATAGAGTAGTATTAAAAATATATATACAATTAAAATATAAAAGTATTACACATTAAAAGTAAACGTATATACACTGGTAAATAAAGTAAAACAAATGACCAATGTTTCACTAATACTCATTTTGACAATCCTACTTAAAAATCATTTGTCATTCACACATTCTCCTGTAAACTATAGTTATTTGACTGTGGTACACAAAATATGTGAGTAACAAGTCATATAAAAAAATATAAATAACATTACAAAGTACCTATGTTTAAAAAAAATAAAAATAAAATAAAATTTGTACATAAATAAAACTACGTTCCCCTTTCTACTGAATTGTTCGTTTTAAAATTTGCCACCTTGCAACCATTATGCCAAAAACATTTTCAATCACCCTCCTTGCCCTAGATAGACGGTAATTGAAAATTCTTTTTTTATAAGTTAATTGTCCTCCTGCATAAGGACGCATTATATAAGATTTTAAAGGAAAAGCTTCATCTGCAACCAGAACGTAGGGCATGTTAATGTTCGAGTTGGTCAGATTTTCATTATCTGGAACATTTAAATCCGCAGATTCAAGCAATTGTCCAAACAGACTGTCCCGGAAAATTCCACTGTCACTGCTAGAACCATAGGCTCCTATATCAACAAGAGTGAATACATACTGGGCATCACAACAGGCCATTAAAACGATACTAAAATATTTTTTATAATTAAAAAATTGTGACCCACTATGTGCTGGTTGTTCAATTCTGATGTGTTCCCATCAACTGCACCCAAACAATTAGGGAAATTCCACAAACTATAAAAATTTCTGGCAATTTTTTTCCACTTTTTTTTTTGGAGTTTTTAAATAGATTGGTGACAATAAATTCCAAATTATGGGACACATTTCATTTATTAAGCGATGCACACTAGTAATTCCCATGTGATGTGACCAGGCCAGACTTTGCATGGTGACTCCCTGCGATAAGAACCTAAAAAAGTACATAAATAATATTGGCCTAAAGGTATAACATCTTTAAATAAACATTACTGTAGTGTAATTTCCAGTCGTTCCTCTGGGCAAATACCATCTTTTGTTTTCATTTTTTCTACAAAAGGTTCCACCAATTTTAATAATTTGTTAAATAAGGGCACCGTCATCCTTGTATATTTAAAAAATTGCTCCTTATCTTTTTCCTTCATTTCTTTAAATATTTTTACGTAAAACCCCATATTTTTCCTACTTCCATAAATTGGACGACACTTGTATCGTCGTGGACGCCTCTGCTTTTTTAACAATAGGGCTGCTGTTAATAATAAAATTATTGTCGCACCTGCGACCATTGTTCGGTCTTCGTCCATTATTATTTGAAAAACTTTAAAATTGTTCTGAAGTATCACACGCCAGATTACCCAAATCACAAATGATGCACAAATAAATGTTTCTGCGGAATTAACGCGACTTCCTAATATTAAATAGTCTTTAAAATTAAAATAACACAAAAGTTCAAATAAAAATCACAAATATTGTTCCTGCGGGGAATTATCGCAACTTCCTAATATTAAATATAGTTTGTTAATAAACTTTAAATAAAGATTTCAAAAACTGATAAGGATTACACAAAGATTACCGAACACAAATATTTTTCTTGCGGTCCACAACTACAAAAGACGGAATCACGACGGAATAAAGAAATGAAAACTCACTCCTGCAATCCTGTGGGATTATCGAAATCGAAAAGGTTTCTGTTATTAAATGGTCTTTACTATGTTTTAAGACCAGCCCCTCTAACAGTTACTGCGTGTCTTTACACCACCGTACAAGGCATCCATCAAATGAAAAAAAAAAAAAGAATGAATATTTTTAAATACAACACGCATGCCCAACTCATACGTTACGGACATTTATAAATACACTTTTTAATGTTTTATTAGGTTAAATTTCTACGGCGTTAAGTTAAGTTACGGTGGTTATAAATTATACTTTAGTCCGTTAGATAGTGACAGGTTTAGGTGCCCCATTTTCGCATACAAGCCTCGAAGAAGGTTGAAAAGTACATCGCTTTAAGTAGAATGAAAGGAAATTTACGAGTGGCTGCTGGGGATAACACATGAAAAAATCGATTTTCCCTAACAAAAACGAAAGGGTATTTTTAGCCCATTTTTCACACAAGCCGTTTTCACTATATGATTAATTAATAGAACTAGGCTTCGGAAAACCAACGGTTTTAATGTTGCAAGTAGCTAAAGGGTTGAAATAAGGGCGTAATTTTCTAGGGAAAAATCGAGATTTTGTCCGATTTTTCCACACAAGCCCATCGAATGTATAAAAACGTAGGTCGTCTCTGGTCCGAAAAAATATTTTCTTAAATGACTTGAATGTATAAGTGTATTTTGGGGTCGGAAACTTTTTCTGATCAGGAAAATCGAATTTTCCATGTGTTATCCCAAGAGTCACTCGTAATTTTTTTTTATTTTACTTAATATCGATGTACTTTTCAACCCTCTTCGAGGCTTGTATGCGAAAATCTGACACGTAAATCGGTCACTATCTGACGGTCTATATTCTCTTTTACACTCTGCAATCACAACGAGTTCGGTTATTTTTTGATTTTGCTTTGTATCGTTATTCGCGGCGCTTGACTTTTAATTCAAGAACGTTTGATTAACTGAAAGATCATACATTTAGTTACTTTCATTATCTTTGTGGTTTTTCAACGCATCGCTACTTTTATTTACGGCTTTCGGATTCTAGTCAGCTGTTTGCATTTTTATAAAAATAATTTCGCTAATTACTTTGGTTTGGTTTCCATTTGTATTCTACCTAGACGGGAAATATGACGGAAATTAAACTTAAAAAGCTGTATCATTAAGAAAAACTAAAATCCAGCGGTTAGATGATATTTTTGTAATTGCACAAAATTTAAATAATCCTGATTCAATTTCGCTTTTTAAAATTCATTACCAGGATGTGGAACAAATTCGTTCAAACTTTTTCACACAGCATAATACTATAATTGGTTTAGTACAAACCGATGTACAGTTTGATGTTGAAGATGCGTTAGGAAAACTTTCGACAAACAATATTATG